TATTTTCCCTCTTCCACTTGTTGATCTAGTTCTACCTAAAAGAGCCAATGTCCTGAGTTGTATGAACGTGACAGATGATGCCTAAAGCACAGCACCACCCAAAATCAAACCCAATGTCTGAGAGCGCTGTCCAGACGCTCCTTGAACTCCAGCACTCCGGCCTGTGCCCACAGCCCTGGGCAGCCTGTTTCAACCCCCAGCCGCCCTCCCCTGACGCAGCTCCACGCCGTTCCCTCGGGCCCTGTCGCTGTCACACAGAGCAGAGCTCAGCGCTGCCCCTCCGCTCCCTGTGAGGAGCTGCAGCCGCCGTCAGGCCTCCCCTCAGCTCCTCTGCTCTGCGCTGAGCAAACTGACAGCCTCAGCTGCTCCTCACACGTGTATTTTCTTTAACTTCAGAATGAGCAAATTGTCCATGTTTTTTTTTCAATAGCAGCAACTCAAGGCACAGTTATCTGTTTAAGACTGCCAAGTCTGTAATCAGTAACCCAAAATCATGCCTGCCCTTAACTACAAGCATGCACACACGGAGAGAAAGTTTCACTTCCCATGTTTCTACAGCCTTCAACACAAATATTTGCAGTCTGATCTGGTTTTAAAGAAATGTTATTTACAGCTAGGTTGTTCAAATTTCTAAGAATACTAGAGATGCACTTCATAAGAGAAATCTAGCATCTCACACAGATTATTTAACCATATGAATAATTATTCAGAAATAATTCTAGGTTGGATATGATGAAGTGGTTTTTATTCCACTACTTTACTCTTGAAAGGCGTAGACTTAAAACTTCTAAGTAGGGCAACTGAAGGAAGATGCTTGTGTGGCCATGTGAGGTCAAACGCACTTTAAATTGCGTAATGAAAAGAGCTCATGTGCTACCAGGAAGCTCATTATAACATCAGGTTTATATTATCTTCAGATACACTCTTAAGTATCTTACAGACTCAAGACTCTACATTACAATCCTGCTCACAGACAGAATAAGGTTAGTTAGTGACACAGTGCCTGGTTCCAGGAGAGCAATGTGCAGAGCTGGTGTGTGCAGCTGGGTTCAAGAGAAAACAGTGAACACCAAGCTTCACATTCAGATGTGCCAATTTACTTTCTCATCAGAAAATACTCAATGTCATGAAGACTGCAGTAGAATTTATATTCTTTTATAACTGATTTCCAAAATGGCAGAAGCAGGAAGAACAAAACTAATTACATACCCTTGACAAGAAAATATTGACTTATCAGCTGCTGAGTAACAGAAAAAAAAAAATCCTACAAATAAACATTGCAAGCTTAAACTCACCTGCTATCAGATGCTTGAGCAGACTAAGCTTTCACATCTCTAAAGCTAAGTGAATTAGGACTAAATAAGCGTTGTGGTGCAGACCCCCAGGCATTCTGTGATCTCAGAGTATGCATCCACTATATTTTTGCCTTTGTGCAAGTGCAGTGAGCTGGGACATTCAGGCACTCCCTGACCTTGTTCCCTGAATATTAGACTGACCTGAGAGGCATCAGGACCGTACCATCTGGGAGTACTGGAACTGTATGGTTGAGTGGAAGTTTCAGGGTTGCCTCACTTGGATTGCAGCCAGAATGGAAAGTTTTCTGACTCAGTTGCCTCACAGTCCTACAAATAATGGTCTTAAGCAAAGAGCCCTTTCAGCTCTCAGGATGGCAGCAGGCTGTGATCCTTGATCTTACATGGACTGGAACTATTATCTGGCATCTAGAGATTCATTGCTGACAGACATCAACGAAGCAGAGCCCTCTTTGGTGCACACCCTGATCATCCACTAAGAGCTGGCAGAAGGGAAGGGTGAGTAGTTCACTGGTGTGGGGGTAAGCCCTGAAGTTTAGAAATTGAATTTAGAAACATCCTTCCAATACTCTTTAGTAAGTCATACGTGAAATCTGCCACTCTTGAGCCTTCAAGTAAGTCACTGTATTTGATTGTAGGAAATCCCATTGGATTTCTGTGTTAAATTGGCTGATTAAGTGCCACTGGGGATCATACAATTTGGTCTCCCGATTCATCATAAAAAAATAATAAATAATAAATCCTAAATTCCTGCTAAGCCAGAATTGACTGAAAATCTGTATGTACAAATTGGCATTGTTGGCAGGATGGCAAAGAGTATCATTGATTACTTACAGAGGCATGGTATGAAACTGAACCCCAGCTTCCAAGAAGAATGAACCCGGAATGACTGGTATGATAGGAAAGAGGCAGAGAAGCAGCTGGATGCTGCAAGTGGTTCTATAGAGATAGGGAGATATTTTCAAAATGCTAGGTTTCTATCTAGATGTTAACAAAACTTAAAAGAAGCAAGACCAAAAAATGGAAATAGAAGATAGGAACACAACTGAGTCATCATTATCTTTAAAGTTTAACAGCTACAAGAACAGTCACAAAAACAAAGGGAAGAATTGCAAGACCTCAAGTAAGACTGCATAGTGTCACAAGGCATTAGATCTGCTCGTTCAAGCAAAAGTTTATCAGTAAACAATAATACCCTATATTTTTATATATATGTGTGTGCATGATATAGATATATATATATATATATATATATAAAAATATATATATTTACTTCTACTTTGTCCTTAAGTACTACTGGAAAAGACTTTTTCATAAATACAAGAGCAAAAATGTTAACACAACCAGAAGCTGTGAAGCTGAATGTGTGATTCTGATGGCAGAGTTAAAATTATTAGTGTAAACAGAGCAAGTGTTGTGTGTTAAGCTGCTAAAATTAATTTCTGGCTCCCAGATGAGAATCACATACAGGCTACTTGCTTTGCAACTGTAAATTGTCAAGAAAAATATTTCTGGTTTAGATATTTCAAACCACAGTACCTGTTCCATTTGTTAAAACACTGAACCCAACTCTGGTAAAAATAGAGAGGTACAGTGTGTACATTTTGCACTGTCCCTGCACTGCCTAATTCGGAATTATTAATGCATCAACATTCAGTTTCTGTTGCAGCACAGGGTGGTTTTTCTAAAGTTACAGCAAATTCGGAAAAAGAACACATTTTCTCTTTCATCCCCAGCTGTTCGTGCTGCACATGAAGAGATATGTCAGATGCTGCAAAGAATCAAGAAGGATGGAGATTATTGATGGTGGGAAGTCCGGCTTGGATGGTCTTCTACAACAACAGAAGCACTAAACACAATGCTGTATCTCGTGATTTTACTGCTTTTGGTTATATTTTGTTTGTTGTTAACTATTGCTTTACATATCAAGGTCTGGAGAATGGCTAAACAAGCTGTGCTGCTGAAAGGACTTCCTTGAGTGTTCTACATCCCCTACATTTTCAATTTATATAATTGGTCATGTAAAAATAAAGAAATAAGCACTGTCCATTTATAGGCACAAGGACAAGAGGTGACCACACCATCACTCTGATGGAAAGAATGACTGACTTTACTCATGGGGTGGCCTGTGGTGGTGCAGAACACCTGCCATCTCCAGTTAAGCCTCAACAGTGTTTTTGCCTTTGTGTAAGTGCAGTGAGCTGGGACACTCAGGCACTCCCTGTTATACCTGAAATTCCTGCTGCTTGAATCACGGCCTGATCAGAGAGGAGCCAAGACTGTACAATCTGGGAGTACTGGAACTGTATGGCTGGGAGAAATTTCCAGGATTGCCTCAGTTGGATTGCAGCCTGAAGGAAAAGTTTTCTGACTAACATCAATTATCTCGCAGTCCTATAAATAATGTTACTAATCAAAGAGCCCCTTGAGCTCTTAGACTGGCAGCAGCCTGTGATCCTTGATCTGGCTGGGACACGTTTCAGGGTAGGCATTTTGAGATTCACTTTTGAGTGACACCAATGAAAAAGAGCCCTCTATGGGGCAGATCCCAGTTGTCCACGAGAGCTGGTAAATGGAAAGTGTGAGTAGGTCAGTAGGGGGAAGAAAATCCTCAAAGAAGTAGCTGAGTTGAAAAATGTCCTCTCCAACACTCTACAAAATAAGCCTCATGTGAACCTTGCCATTCTCAAATATTTAACTAAGTCATTGTATTTGATTGTAGTGAATTCCATTGGATTACTGTGTTAAATTGGCCGATAATTAAGTGCTGATTAGGAGCCACTAAGAATCATACAATCTAATCTTGTGATTTATTGTAGAAGTATTAATAAATCCTAAATTGCTGCTAAACCAGAGTTGACGAAAAATCTATTCACGGTGATTTTGAATCCAATCTATTTAAGGGCTTCATATCAGCATTTTTTTGGTTCTTGTACTATTATTCAGGTCAACAACATATTTTTAAAATCTCTACTGAAACAAAAAAGGGAGAACGAACAGCATTCCTTGATCCAGCAATAAAATTAGCCCAAGCACAGCAACTTTCTGAATCTCTGTCCAAACATTCACAATTTGTTCCCGGTATCTCTTAGAGCTATTCATTCATTTTCCACATCCACTTTCACTCAGAGTAAGTACATCTTGATTCTCTAAAGAATTTGTATTGTTGTTATTATTTTTGAGCTGATTGCACAAAACTGCAATTGTTGAAATTTGCAGGCAAAGATGACAAAAGCTGAATGCCATGGTTGAACTCCAGAGGGCTTCAAGTACGTTTGTAATACATGTTTAACTCAGTAAAGGTACTTTTTCTCAGTGGCCGGCTTACTAAAACTGAGAAGAGCTTTTTCTGCAGTCTCCTTGTTTGTCAAATGTAGCAACTCAATAGCCCTGTGGCACAATGTTTGAGCTTTTTCCCTGCATTGAACTGAGAAGCAAGAGCTGATTGAGAAAAATCAGCAGAATTGCTATAGTGAAAAAGAAAACCTTACAAAATCCGTAAGCAAACATCCACATCCCTTCACCCCAAATAGTAACCTGAAACAGATACATAAGTGTTTCAAAGAAGAAAAACATCTGGTTTAAATTAGGTCTTTAAAACATACTACAAGATCATAAAAGCTTAGCACACATAAGATATGCTAGAACTGCATTTGTATATATATATTTCTTTTAAAATCTTCTTACCTCTCCCACAACTTCAATAATGTCACCGACTTTTAATTCCAGTTCATCCTCATTTTGAGGCAGATAACTGAAAGCCACCTGACATCTTCTTCGTCTGTTCCTCTCTCCTAGCGAAAATTAAGGAAATGAGAAAATCATGAGAAAATGAAAGCAAAATTTCCATATCAAATACAAGCCATGCAAATTGATTCAAGATGAAAAATAATCATTATTATATGCAACATTATCAAAATAGCAAAATATTTTCAGCATTTGCAATACTTAAGTCTATTAATCTAGAATTAATTTATCAAAAGATGGTAGAGGAAAGGTTTCTGAGATTATTTATTTCAACTATTTTTATAATCTGAATCAATTAATGCCTCATCTGAGTGAAAACAAATTGTAGTAACTTTTTTTTTTTTTCCTTTCTGTGATATTACTGAACAGTCAAAATTTAACCAACAAATTATAATTCCTCAGTGACAAAATGAGAAGACTTTATCCAGAGGATCTTTTCAGGTGCATTTGCTAAAATTGAGATTCTTAGCTAATGCTCTATACAAATGGCGCAAGCAACTCTAGAAACTGAATGGGTAGGGGAGAGGCTGCAAAACTTTGTGTGGCTTTTGTTCTTACAGAAACACAGTCTCAGCAAATTGCTTCATCTTGTATCTTTAGTTTTCCATTATTCCCTCGCAGGTGTACACGTATCTGATGAATGTTTAAAAAAAAAATCAAACATATTCCTTTTTGTACATATATATACATATGTATGCATGTATATGTATTTACGTGCACATTTTTAAACTGCACATTCGTGAATTAATATCGTCACAGAATCATAAAATTACTTGGATTGGAAGGGGCCTCAAAGATCATCTAGGTTCAATTCCCCTGCTGTGGACAGGGTTGCCAACCATATTAGATTGCCCAGAAATCCATCAGGTCTGGCCTTGGACATCTCCAGGGATGGGGCATCCACAGCTTCCCTGGCCAGCCTGTGCCAATGCCTCATCATCCTCTGAGTAAAGAAAACATAAGCTCCCTTTCCCCCTGAAGAAGAGTTAGTGTGGTCAAGGTTGGTCAATACTGATAGTCAACCAGCCACTGGAAATGACAGTATCATCCAGATTTCTCTCCAGATTAGATATCCAGGCTCCTGTGAGAAACTGGTATGCGTCTTTGGATGGAAGGCTGCAAACAGGCTTGAATTCATACTCCGAATAAGCATTAAGACCTTTAATTTGACCCTTTTGCCATCACAGTTTGAAGACATAAATGAAAAGATCGGTTTCATAATACTGTTTGCCAAATCCACTGGCATACACTTAAGTTATAGTTGTATGACTTGTAGCAAAGTGGAGACAAACTGGAACGAGTTCAACATACTATCATGAAGATACTTAAGGGACAGGAGCATCTTTTATATGAGGAGAAGCTGTGAAGGTGGGACTCTTCAGCCTGGAGAAGAGGAGACTCTGTGGGACCTAATGAATGTGTATAAATACTTCAAGGGAGGGTTTACAGAGGATGGATCCAGGCTTTTTTCAGTGATGCCCAGAGCAAGGACAGAGGCAATGGGCATAAAATGAACACAGGAGGTTCCCTCTGAACACCAGGCAGCACTTCTGAGATGTGCAGGTGATAAAGCACCAGCACAGGCTGCCCAGAGGCTGTGCAGTCTCCTCTTTGGAGATCTCCAAGAGCTGCATGCTGTGGGCCTTTGACTAAGTGCACTACGACAGTAGTTTTCACAGCCTCTGAATTTCTGGAAGAGTGGCAAGTTTTGAATGATAAAATTAAACACCGAATCATAGAATCCTTAGAGTCAGAAGGGACATTTAAAAGTCATCTAGTCCAACTCCCAATAATAACAGCATAATGCAGTATAACCCAACTTGCTCAAATTGGCTTTTTTTCTCCACCTACAGAAGGACTGATCATTCTTCACCATCTAAACCAAAATGGACCTATATCGACAACTTTACACAGCCACACTCAGAATAACATAAATAAAATAAATAGCTTCCATATCAAGTACTCTTTTGTTGCGCAAAAGTAAGAAGGCAGCTACTTTTCCTGAAGATAACATTCCCACTTTGATTTCTAACATCAAGCAAGGACCGTTGCCTGATGTGATAGATGTCAGTTGGCATACTATTTAATAATCAATACTGTGTCACTCTTGGAGAATACTTTTGAGCTCACTAAGAGCAAGAAATAAACAGTTCTGGAAGTTAATAACAGAACTGCATGAATCCTTCACCTTCCCACCCCGTAATTTTTTTTACCGCTACAGAGAATCTTGAGAAAGTCTGCACTTAGCTGTTAGCCTCCTGCTGTCTCTCTGTTCTCCCATTCTTCCTGAATATCTTTCTTTAAAGAAATAGCTAAGTTGAAAGTAGCACACCAACAAAAGGCTTAAGTACCAACCAGCTTCTGTCTTTGGTCTAAAGCGAGACACAACACATCCAGTAGCGAATACCTTCAGGTTTAAGGAGAAGCTGCTGTTGGGGACCCCATGCCTGCTAATATTTGGGCACTGAAGTTCTTGAACAGTGCAGGAAATGGATGAAGAATCTCTACAGCAAAGAGTCATCTATTTTTATTTACACTAAAGAAATACCAGTAAAGAGTAAGGGTATGACTTTTCTAAGAAAACAGAGCTGATAGGAAAAGAGAGAAGACTAAAGAAACAGTGGAAATATGAAAAATGTTAGTAAAGAAGAACTCCCTTTTTGCAAATATACTATTCTCAGCCCAGCACCACAGATTTTTTTATCTTTTTTCTTAACTAGCACAAAGGCTCCAAAGGCAGCATGCTGAGGAAGCACAAAGGCCCAACAGGGACAGCTAATAAGCAGCTTAGACTGAAAAACTGAAGTCTCAGTCTTCTCTTGGCATTTTCCCTTCTGCTAACATTGCACTTATTGCAGAGTATGTTACAGTTTAGTATAAACTGTTAATCAGCATCTGAGATCTAAATGATGCACTATAACTTTGAAGTGTAAGAAATGTGATGAACATAAATTGATTTTAAACCATAGCGAGCAGTAAATCTACAATGAAGATTGTAGATATTTTCCAATCTTACTTATGGTTTTTTTTTTCCTGACTTTTAAATTAATGAAGATTTTTGCATCTTTCTCCACGTTAGAGCATAAACTGACTTATTTGGTAGTGAAAAATTACTGACTGGTGAGAAGGCAGGTAATAAATCTAGTGCTTTAAAAATCAGGAAAGGTTGTTGCAAAGTCATCAAGGGCTTTTAGAAACTTTAAAAGAAATAATAATAATAAAAAAAAGCTCAGTAAAATTTTATTGGAGAAGTATAACAATTTGTAGTAAGTAACCTGCTACAGGCAAACACCACACTGTGCTCTTCCCGCTGGTTGCAGTTCTAGACTTTTTAATTTCCTAACTGTAACTCAACATCAAAAGTGTTTGGAAAGCAAAATATCTATGAGTTGCAGTTGGGAACTGTTTGGAACAAGCAGCCATACAGAAATAACATCTGTCTCCCTGTTGAAAAATGTCGGCTTTCATTCACACAGTTATAATAAACCTTTTAGAAAAAAACATGCACATGCCTAATTTGTGCAGTCTGTTCTTAAAATACATTATGCAGCTACAGAAGAACTTGCTGCAGAGCATACTGCATCTGAAGCTATGACACCAAGAACCCGACTGCTGCAATGCAGGTTGGGCTTTGCTTCGCTCCTTCTACAGACTGCGTTGAGGCCACTGGACCTGGCGTTGTGTAGGTCTCACCAAGGGAGGAAAAAAATACACCTTGGATACACTGCAAAAGCTACAATTGTGGTTGTCTACCTTGTGTGCGGGTGCTAATTGTCAGCTCCTGGTCACCCTACTTGTGGTTACTGTCGCTGTGTCCTGAGCAGCGACCAGCCTCTCTAATTATTCCCCAGAGAGTTTCACTCTGAGCAAAACCTGCTAGCTTAGAAGTGTAAGCACTAGACGTGAAGTAGCTCCATTTTTTCTTTATTCTAAGATTCGCATAGCTGTCCCTGAGGTGGATGTCTCAATGTGAGCCCATCACTCTGGAGCAGAGAGAACCTAATACCTCCAGAGGGCAGTTAGTGTCACTGTAAAACAGATGACAAAAACATATCAGATAAACTCTCTGGAAAGGCCTTTTTCTACTGATGTGGTGAGACGAGGCTTCAGCTTGACCTTTAAAATGTCTAAAGTTAGGCCAAATGGAAAAAAGAATGAACACACGTTTAAAAACTTTGAAGGAACAAATCTAGTGATGTTTTCAAAGTGATGTTTGATCCCGTTATAAAAACAGCGTGGTTGTCTCTAGTAGCAGGATACTGGGTCTTGATTTAAAAGAGTCTCCTCCAGTTGAGTGCATGCAGCAGTGGGACCCAGAGAGCTTGCTGCTTACTGATGCCATTGCCTTTGTGCCTGTGCTGTTATTGTCAGTGAAGACCACATGGTGACTGTCAGTAGCAGGTCCATCAACTGCACAAATCTTGTTTATTCTATGACAAGAGAACAAGTTCAACAACCTGTTCTGTGATACTACCACAAGAAGCAAAAAACTACAGAAGAAAAGCCAGAACACACCCATAGAGCAAACATCTGTATCTTTCCTTGACAAAATGTCAACCTAAATGGTTTATAATCTCTTCAAAACTAGGCCACAGAGTTTTGTAATTGGGTCTGTTTTGAAAAGACACATATTGACACCATTGCAGCTCAGACAATCCAACCAAATTGCTCCTGCATTTCCTTTTATTTTAAAGGTGCATTGCTATGGAAATTGCATGGGTTATGCTGGGGACTGAGAGGCTTGAGTCAAGCTTTGTTGTGTGTGGAGCCTAAAGATATTTCAGCCAAATCTAAATATTCCAAATACAGTAAAGCACATCACAGCCCCTGCAGGCCCATAAACTCCTCTCTGCCTTGGGCTTGCTGAGCAGGCACGGGGGAACCATTGGGGGAAACAGATCCACTGGGCCACATGTAAAGCAGATGCAAAGAAACTGAATTCAGTACATCTGTATGAGAAAGAAGCCCCTTTCTAGCAGTTCTATTGTGAAGAAAATGACAAGTTTGAGGAAAAGTTTCCAATCTTCTACTTCACATTCCTATGCAT